CAAGCAAAAAAAAAAAAAAAAAAAATCTGTTGCTGCTTGCATCACCCCTTGCCGTGCCACGCGGCCGTTCCCGAATGAGCTGGCACCTCACGGCAGTCCTGTGCGGAGCTTCGCCTGCGAGCGACGCCCAGCCCGGCCTTGGCAGGGGCTGAGTGGTGCCCGCGGGGATGCTGCGTGCCCGTGGGCTCCCCAGAGCTCAGCAGGGGCGATGGTTTCGGCGAGAGAGGGGCCCAAATCCAGCCGGTCTCTGTGGAGGCGCAGCTCGTCCCCGCTGATCCGTATGCGCTGCGGCACCAGGGGCGCGGTGCTGCCCAGTCTGTGGCCGGCAGCTCCCTCGGGACCCCACGCTGGCTTCTGTTGCTTTTTCAGAGGAAAATTTTGAGCCCTCCTCTGGGGCTGCAGAGGAAATTTGGAAGATGCCTCAAGAGGAAGATAAATGAAGAAGGTAATTATGACCCTAAATCACTCTCTTTTGCTTCTTTTTTTTTTTCTTCAGGTCCATCTTCCAATTCCTAAATGCTTGGAGTTAACGATGCCTTTCAATGCCATCAAATTTTTCAATAATTTCTTGGCAGAATTTCTCCCCATCACCCTGCTTTGAAAAGCCTCTCTCTCTGATCCTCAAGGTTTTCTTCATGCTGCATTACACCTATCCATTACCACGCTGTTATTTTGCTCCAAAGGTACATCTCGAGGCTTTTACGAAGCATATTCGAGCTCCCTGACGACGGCGCTTGGGTGGATGTGATACAGCGTGACGGACCGTGCGAATGCCGTAAAGCGCAGACATGGCAGGTGGAAAGCTGGCCGGCGGGGACCTGGCTGCCTGCAGCAGCGCTGGGAGTTCATGCCCAGGTGAAGGGAGAAGAAGGACCTGGCCTGAGACTGATAGAGCTGGGGAAAAAAATAAGCTTTCAGCCGGGCAAGTCTGTCTTTGGCACTGAAATGGAAGCGCAAACCTTCAGGTTAAGGGCATTAGGATCTCCGCTGTGCAAGGGGAGTAACGGCAAGGAAGTCCGAGCAAGCACCAGTTATGAGAAGAAGCATCAAGTGCTCTTCAGCAGCCCAGCCTGGCGGGATACTTTATCAAAGCAGCAAGTGGGGTACGTTCTGCTTCTGAGCAAGGGGGTGGAGGAGACGGAGTCACCTGTGGCCAGCAATACTGCTGGGGAAGTATCAGGAGAGCAGGAATTCTGGTTTTCCAGCTCCTTAGCTGGGGCAGGGATGGGATGCGGACATCGCCGGGGTGAGACGCCCCCCTTAGACACTAGGACAGGGATTTAAGCTGTTAAGTGACTCAGTTGCTACTGACTTTCCCCCCCAAAACCCCAAAGGCTCAGAAGAACATAGGTGGCTTTTATTTATTCCGCTCTTAATGGAAAAAAGTATTCGTCAGCAGTAAAATCCTATACTTGATTGTGACTGTTGTTAGTTCAGCATTATATATATGGAGGGCAGTCAGCGAACATAATTATTAGTTGTATAGTTTGATTGCAAGCGTTGCGGGGGGATATTACCCTTGCAAGCAATCTCATCCCCAGCTTGTGCCCTGCTTTGCTTTAGCTGCCGTTAAACAGGGACGCGTCCTTGTCCCCGGGCTTGTCGTCCGTCCTGCCACCTGCAGCTCCGCTCGGCCCCCAGCGGGAAGGTGGCATTGGAGAGGGACACAGAAACCCTGTCACCCATGAGGGAGCAAGGGCTGGCTCAGCTGGAGACAACACGTTTTAAGAGCACCACTGTTTTGCCTGCCCAGCAGCGTCTGGGGAGGCAAAGGGAGGCGTCAGGCGAGCACAGATGGAGACCCTGCGACGAGGAGCAGAGACAGGAGTGGGCACAGCGCAGTCCAAGGAAACTGGGAGAAGGTGATGCCATAGCCACACTGGTTGGTGAGGAGTTTATTTATAAACATAATGGGTTAGCGATGGCACCTCAGTTCGGATGTCAGTGTAGTGTGACAGCTAGCTGTCATGGGGAGGATTTTATACAGCAAAATTCGCAGCGGCACTCACTCAGACATTATTTCAGGCATTTATGTTGTTATAGGAAGCAGCAAGCGAAGCTGAGCATGCAGAGCAGGGGTAGTTCAGCTTTTGTCTCTTGCTCATCTGCTCCTGCAGACCCTGTGCATCTGCGAGTGGCGAGCTGGTGAGGGCCGTGCTCCCGCTGCGTTGGTGGCCCTGCAGCCCAGTTCTTCGGCCCTGCCCGGGAAACGTCCGGCGGCGAGCAGGGCCGAGCCTTGGTGCCTGTGAGGACGTCCAGTGCAGGAGGGCAGCGCTAGATGCGTGTTTGGTGCCGAGGTCGGTGGCTGGAAGGTGGCCGTCTCATCTGTCCCCTTCTCTTCCACACAAGCTCTTGTGCTTACTTCTGTCCAAGCATGCCCTGGCTGGTCTCCTGGCCTCCTCAGCCCCCTCATCGGTCTCATTTTCAGTGATGGTCATTAACTGCAACCCAAAATAGTTACTTCTTTATGTGGATGTTCCTTCTCCTTAACATTTTGCCAGGAGAGGGGCAAGAAGGCAGAGGGAGAGGCGCTCTCTGCAGGGCTGGGGAAGGGAAGGGTGGGAGATGCAGCTCCAGGGTGGAGCAGGGGAGGCTGCAGGATGGACGATGTGGACCAGGGACGCGTGAGGGATTAATTCCCTGGGATGCGCAGGGTCAGGAGTCACCACGGGGTGGGGGGAGAAAAAATACAGATAAGGCACTAGACCAGAAGCAAAACCGACAACTATTTTAAGACCTGCTTAGAGACGTGACCCAAGAGGCAGTAACTTTTCATCGGGCAACCAGGTCTGGGATGTCATGGCCCTTCCCAGGCACATAAGAAGGGTCCATTCCCAGAAAGAGGTGTTGGGGAAAGCCTTTGAAGATGCTCGGTAGTGTTGCCTCAGGTTATCAAACATGATGGGGGACAGAAGTTGCACGTCTGAGCCATGCAGAAAGCCCCTCTGGTATCAGCCAGGTAATCCAGAAGCGGTGCGAGGAATGGGAAAAAGTGCCAGGATCTTAAACAAACCCCATTTGGTGTCAAAACACTCCCAGTGAGCTGCCCACTGTGGCCGTGTGGGAAGACTGCGTCCACCATCTCTTCCGACCACACAAGGAGCTTGGCCGAGAGCCAGCGAAGAGATGACTGAAGACATCTGATGAGACAGCCGGACGCCTGCGCTCAGCAAATCCCCCCACCCACAGACCTCCCCTGGGCTTGGCACCATGCTGCGCTTGGTGATGGACAGCCATGCAGGTCAACATGGACAACGTCCTGGAGGAGATGGCAGCGTTGGTACGGGAGGACCTTCTCTCTACCTGCGAGGATGCCATTGCGAACTCCCTGTGCGAGGCCACTCCTGCCCGGTGAAAGGCTGTGGTACCAGTCACCCGCAGCTGTGAGCGTGAACCATGTCCGACGGTCCAGAAGTTGGTCTCTGGTCACACAGGACATCTTCCCAGCATCCGAGTGCTGCACGAAAACACTTCAGAGCTAATAAAATGTGAAAGATGATTCAGGATGAAACACATGTTTGCACATAGGCTTGATACCTGCCCAAGCAAGTCGTGAGATGACCAAAAGAGGGGAACATCTGTCAGCATTGCTAATGCTTTAATATACTGTGTGTCAGAAAATACACGTGGGTTTAGCTAACAGTAATATTGAGGTCAAGAGAACAGTGAAAACGATGAAGACATCCACTTAAGCAGAACAATAAATAAGTAACGTGTCATTTTTATTTTTGCTGGTATTTGAATCTATCTTCTGGTGCCACTAAAATAAGATCAGGGCACGAATAGCAGCAGTAGAAAAACCAGATGGTGCACTCGAGCGAGCAGATGGTGCACTAGTGTGTCATACTTATTACTGTCACTTACTTTATTATTTCTATTATGGTGGATCTCTGGACAGTCCTCACCTGTAATCAATATTTGTGTACTGGATTTTTTTAATTCAGTAAACATTATGGTTCACATACTTGGGAAAAATCTGGTTGAGTGGTGATTTCTTTCTGTAGTACTGCCAGGTCTCAGGAAGCGTTTGATGCAGTCGGTATTTTTTCAGGTAGAAACATGTTTTTGGGGGTGGAGAAAAAAAAACTGGCAGCGTGTGTTTATTCTATAAGCACCCCGGGTCCAAAATAAAGTGGGAAACAGTCTGTGTGGCTCTTCTCTTAAACCCTTTCCTTTGCTGTAACCTGGCTATGTTTCCTTACGCCGTGCTGTCTGCTTACCCGCTCCTTGGACGCTTATCCACATACTGAAAGCTCAGCCTGTTTCTGAAAGCGAATACAGAAGATGCAGGTGAGGAAGAAGCCGACTTTTCCCTCACACCAGTTGGGGATGGCACGCAAGGACCGTGCTTGTCGTCCTCCCTTTGGGCAAAGGCTGCTGTGTCACAGCCTGTCCCTGCTAGCAGACACGTACGCAGTTTGCCAGGGAGGGCTGGGGCTCCTCGCCCAGCGGCAGGGGGGATTCGCTGTGCTATTCGATAGCCCGCAGCGATAAATGAGATCTCCCCTTCGGCAGCTGGCCCACATGCAGCGTGACAGCGCGGAGGGACTGCACGTCTGCACTCCCCTTCCCTCTTACGCACTGTCTAGCACCGCGCTCGCCTCTGTCGGCATGTTGGGAGCGTGTCCCGTCAGCTCCGCAATGCTGCCGGGCACGGCGACAGGCGCGAGAGCAGCCAAAGGCTGAATGGTCTGTATGGCTGCACCCGTTTGCTCGCTAGGAAAGAGGCAATCTGTCAAAACATCGTTCAGACAGACCCTCGCTGTCGGCTGGGGCCAAAGTCTGCATAAAAGCCCCTGGATTTATCATCGCTTTTGCATTCAGAAATTATTCTAGCGAGAAATACTCCTTGTTGGTCTGTCTGCTTTTTTTTTCCTTCTCTTTTTCTTCCTTTCCCTCGCTCTATTCTTCATGGATATCTGATATATCCCTTTCCCCCTCTATTCTTCATGGACATCCCATATATAACTCTGTAACTATAAATCCCTTCTCTAACGCTGCGATTCCCACTGAGGTTGGTGCATTCACCCCCTGGGTGAATCCCTCCAGTTCCGCTTCTGCCCTGGGCTGGGGGCTGCTGCAGCCGTTTCCATCAGCTGGTGTCAGGCAGCACCTGGCAGAGCTGCTTCGTTTGCTCCGTGGCGGCGAGTTCCTCCTCTGGCTGCTGCTGTCGGCCCGGCAAGCGTGTTTTGGGGCAATCCGGGGCTGCGGCAGCTCCGACTGCTCCATCCTTCAAGTGCACAAGAGAAGGAGAGTAAACGGAGAGACGCATCCTATGCATGCATGGCAGTATGCATTTCTTCTGATGCATCTTCTCACGTCTCCTGTACGGGAGCTCTGATTGTAATTATCTGTATTTATTTAATCCTGTCCCATTTGCTAGGCTGTATGTGTTTGCTACAGTAGCCTGCTGCTCTATTCAGCCAGACCAGATGCTGCTGCCAAATTGCACTAACTCTAAAGCTGCGCCCAAGACAACTGCTTTGGTCTATTTTTAACTGCTGGTAAACATTAGGAAAACTGTCTGAGCCAGTAACAGTCTTCCTCTAGTCTCTTTTGAATTGTTTATTGTATGATTATCTGCAAAAAGGGAATGGAGGAGAGCTGCCTGTGTGCCCTTTTGTTGTTTTCAGTCTACAGTATTAAATATTTTCCCTCCTGTTCGCACGCAATGTTTGATTCTTTTCTTGTCTTCCCAGCCGAAAGGATAAGATAACCCGAGTGGAGCCTTCTCAACCCTCCGCCGAAGCAGCTTACATCTGCTCCTTCCGACGCCGGAACAAACACGTTGTCTGTCTTTGACAAAGAAAGCTTTTCTCTGAAGTGTTTGCCAACAGTCTGAGTTAAATACGCCTTTATAAAACCAAATGGTACTCGGGGAGCCAGATCGCGAGGACACCGGAGCAGCAGCAGCACCGTGGCTGGGGAGGGTGGGGGAGGACGGCTCTGCTGGGCTGGGGGCTGCACTGCCTCAGCCAGGCAGGGCAGGGGCCCCGGCAGCCTGCAGCCACCGACAGGGGTAGGCTCCTCCAAGCTCTTCGGGAAGGAGTATTGCAGATATTTAGGTCCTGTTCCAGGTCACTAGCTTCAGGAGGGAAACCACAGCCAGCGTGGATCATCCCGATGAGCACGCTCGTGGGTCGCTCAGGAAGCTGTGCTGCTGGTTGAAACCCACAGGGAGGTTGGTGGGTGCAGGCAGAAGTGCCGAGGAGCGAGGCTGTATTAACGGCGCTAACATCCACCCTCGTGCAGCCGCGGGAAAGGAAAGAGAAAGGGGGAGAAGTAACAGCAGACTGAGCAGGAGAAGCTCTCGGCTGTAAGGGCTGGGGGCTCGGGCTCCGTGGCATTCGGACCCGTGCTCTGCTGCTGACATCTGATGCGAGGATGAGGAAGATGCTCCTTCCTCATCTAACACTGCCTCAGCTGGCAGCAGGAGCACAAGGCAGGCCAGGTGATTTTGGTAAGAACTTTGAGAATTGTATTAAAACCTGTAGTTGCCATTTTTAGCTCAGCAAAGGGAACACAATCAAACACATTTTCCCTGTGGTGCAAGTTGGAGTGCAGACATAGAACACCACTTCTTTTAACGGATCTTGCATGCATACGCTGTAGCGAGGACCCCCGGCCCAGCAGCTTCCACCTGGGGACTCAGAACACGCAGGCACAGTCTGTGGTATGTGACACGGGACAACATCCCGCTGGGAGTCGGGAGGAGAAGCGATCCACTCTGCGTACCTGCGACCGCTTCTTCACTGGCGAGGTTGCTCTGCTGCCTCCAGATGCTATTGCTCAATTAAAAATTTGTGCTGTAAATGAGTAAGGCTGTGCGTGTAAGCGCTTTAAGCAGAAACTGCATGTGTTTCAACAAGCAGCAAAGAGACAAATACGATTGTTTCTGAACTACAGCGGAACTGGAGAAAATGCAAAATAGAACGGCACAGTGTTTTCCTAGTTTTATAATTCCCTAAAGGGTTCCCTCGAAATGGGACGGTACAAGTGGCTCTGGTCTTACAAGGAACAGCTAGAGATTTATAGAAGAGGCACGTACCCTGTGCCCCCACTGTGCTACCCTTCATCGTGCTTTTTAGTCACTGACAGCATTTTCCCCGAATTTCTTTCATTCCCTGTCACACAACTGATTTCCTTTTGCGAACGTAACTAACGTTGGAGCTGGATTTGCGGTTTGAATTATCAGCATTTTTCTTATTGTCATAAGGCACGGGGCCCTGCCACACAGGCTACGGCTCCAGCATGGCAGCTACCACACAAACACAAACAGAAAGCTGCTCGGAACCTGCGTACAGCACGAAAGAGACGCCGGGCAGAGGCACGAGCTTGCAGGTTGCAAGACGCGGGCAGGAACAACGGCGTGCAGGAAACCCCGTGGGACCTTCTGGGGTGAAGGGCTTGGAATCATAGAATCATAGGATGGTTAAGGTTGGAAAAGACCCTTAAGATCATCGAGTCCAACCGTTAACCCAGCACTGCCAAGTCCACCACTAAACCATGTCCCTGAGCACCACATCTACCCGTCTTGTAAATACCTCCAGGGATGGAGACTCCACCACTTCCCTGGGCAGCCTGTGCCGGTGCCTGACTACCCTTTCGGTGAAGAAGTTTTTCCTGATATCCACCTTGGTAGCTGCACGGGCTGCCGCAGTCCCTGTGGGACCCCCCCGCGGGGGAGACGGTGGTGGGAGGCCTGGTAATGGGGAAAAAAAAAAAGAGAGGTTAGGTTAAATACGGGAGGCACCGAGGAGAGATGCAAAGAGGCAAGGGGAACGCCCGGATGGACGGGCCGGGGCGATCATTTTGATCTGGTGTCTGATGGGCTGGGAGGCAGTAGCGCTGGGGAGGCTAAAGTACATGAAACGTGCAGGGATGGAGACCGGGGCTGGGCACAGTACGGGGAAGCTTCAGAAGCTACGTGGACAGCGGGGAAGGACCAGGATTCAGAAGAGCTGTGATGGAAAAAATGAGCCGCAGTGGCCAAGCGAAGCTAGCAGCGACAGGAGGTGAAAGACCCGAGGCGATCCCTCCCACGTCCTCCGCGTCGCCAAGGAGGATGTCGCGTCGTGAGAACGCGAGGCGGGAAAAGCGGCGATAGGCCGGCAGGAGCACAAACGCTCGTTAGGGCCCGCGCTGTGTTTCCGCCGGCAGGGAGGCATCCAGCGGGGCCGGGCTGGGAAGGCGCGGGCTCGGCTGCGGCTGGGGGCCCCGGTCGGCCC